AGTGAGGTCTCTCTCCTGTGGATAGTGAGGTCTCTCTCCTGTGGATAGTGAGCTCTCTCTCCTGTGGATAGTGAGGTCTCTCTCCTGTGGACAGTGAGGTCTCTCTCCTGTGGCACAGTGAGGTCTCTCTCCTGTGGCACAGTGAGGTCTCTCTCCTGTGGACAGTGAGGTCTCTCTCCTGTGGATAGTGAGCTCTCTCTCCTGTGGCACAGTGAGGTCTCTCTCCTGTGGATAGTGAGGTCTCTCTCCTGTGGCACAGTGAGGTCTCTCTCCTGTGGACAGTGAGGTCTCTCTCCTGTGGACAGTGAGGTCTCTCTCCTGTGGATAGTGAGCTCTCTCTCCTGTGGCACAGTGAGGTCTCTCTCCTGTGGATAGTGAGGTCTCTCTCCTGTGGCACAGTGAGGTCTCTCTCCTGTGGACAGTGAGGTCTCTCTCCTGTGGATAGTGAGCTCTCTCTCCTGTGGCACAGTGAGGTCTCTCTCCTGTGGATAGTGAGGTCTCTCTCCTGTGGATAGTGAGCTCTCTCTCCTGTGGCACAGTGAGGTCTCTCTCCTGTGGATAGTGAGGTCTCTCTCCTGTGGCACAGTGAGGTCTCTCTCCTGTGGACAGTGAGGTCTCTCTCCTGTGGATAGTGAGCTCTCTCTCCTGTGGCACAGTGAGGTCTCTCTCCTGTGGATAGTGAGGTCTCTCTCCTGTGGCACAGTGAGGTCTCTCTCCTGTGGCACAGTGAGGTCTCTCTCCTGTGGACAGTGAGGTCTCTCTCCTGTGGACAGTGAGGTCTCTCTCCTGTGGATAGTGAGCTCTCTCTCCTGTGGCACAGTGAGGTCTCTCTCCTGTGGATAGTGAGGTCTCTCTCCTGTGGCACAGTGAGGTCTCTCTCCTGTGGATAGTGAGGTCTCTCTCCTGTGGATAGTGAGCTCTCTCTCCTGTGGATAGTGAGGTCTCTCTCCTGTGGACAGTGAGGTCTCTCTCCTGTGGCACAGTGAGGTCTCTCTCCTGTGGACAGTGAGGTCTCTCTCCTGTGCAACTGCTGATACAACACTGAACTTTCCCTGTGAGAATACAGGATTTTCTGATCAAATTCAGTTTATTTGCCATTTGCAGTAAAACCACATTGGAATACATTAGCAAAAGTCTCCAGTGTGCACAGACAAATACAGACATAAAACATTAAAAGACAGAAATAAAACAAATAAAACAGTAAGCAAATGTCACTGTGAAATCGATCGACTAAAACAGTTTCAAAACAAGTGCAAATCATTAAAGTGCTCTGTTCACACTGATAACAGCCTGAGGATAAAAACTGTTAGCGTAACGAGATGTCCTGCATCTCAGAGAGCGATATCTTCTGCCAGAGGGAAGAAGCTGGAACATGGCTTTCCCAGGGTGGCCAGAAGAGTCATTGACAATCCTAAGAGCTTTGTTTAAAAGTCTGGATTTATAAAGAACCTCCAGAACAGGAAGCTCACAGCCCACGGTCCTCTTTGCAGAGCGGAGCACCTTGTTTAAAGCTCTCTTTTCTTTATCTGTGATGTTTCCAAACCACACAGACACAGAACCAACAAGTAAACTCTCAATGGTGCAGCCATAAAAGTTAAACACAATCTTAGAGTTAGTCACTAACTCATTATCTTTGATGCACGCGCCAAGGACCACACCCCCATCTGTGCGCCTCCTCTTCATCATCTGCAGCAGCACAGAACCTTCCTCCTCCTCTTCATCATCTGCAGCAGCACAGAACCTTCCTCCTCCTCTTCATCGTCTGCAGCAGCACAGAACCTTCCTCCTCTTCATCATCTGCAGCAGCACAGAACCTTCCTCCTCTTCATCATCTGCAGCAGCACAGAACCTTCCTCCTCTTCATCATCTGCAGCAGCACAGAACCTTCCTCCTCTTCATCATCTGCAGCAGCACAGAACCTTCCTCCTCTTCATCATCTGAGCAGCACAGAACCTTCCTCCTCCTCTTCATCATCTGCAGCAGCACAGAACCTTCCTCCTCTTCATCATCTGCAGCAGCACAGAACCTTTCTCCTCCTCTTCATCATCTGCAGCAGCACAGAACCTTCCTCCTCTTCATCATCTGCAGCAGCACAGAACCTTTCTCCTCTTCATCATCTGCAGCAGCACAGAACCTTCCTCCTCTTCATCATCTGCAGCAGCACAGAACCTTTCTCCTCCTCTTCATCATCTGCAGCAGCACAGAACCTTCCTCCTCTTCATCATCTGCAGCAGCACAGAACCTTTCTCCTCCTCTTCATCATCTGCAGCAGCACAGAACCTTCCTCCTCTTCATCATCTGCAGCAGCACAGAACCTTCCTCCTCTTTATCATCTGCAGCAGCACAGAACCTTTCTCCTCCTCTTCATCATCTGCAGCAGCACAGAACCTTCCTCCTCTTCATCATCTGCAGCAGCACAGAACCTTTCTCCTCCTCTTCATCATCTGCAGCAGCACAGAACCTTCCTCCTCCTCTTCATCGTCTTGTCTGGCGCAGGTAAGACCACGCTCTCAACGCGTCTTGTTTTGACGCGGGGGGAAGAGCACGTGACGCCCGCATGTCTGCGCGTGTGGGAGGCGTCACGAGCACAACAAAGGCGCGTGGACGGTACGTAAAGAGACGTCGCGTACGTGTCGGTCTGACGTGACCGACTCGTGCATGTTGGACTTTTGGACTGCATCAGGACCATCGCTCTGACGGTCCTTCCTCTGGCTCCAGTGACGGTGGGTTCATTACAGACTGTGGTTGGTTCTAGACCCACTGCTGACGTCTTACAATTAAATAACAGTTAGTAAGTACTTACTATCTGTTAAAAAGACTTTAAAGAAACTATACCCAATTTCTTTAAATGAGTTAATAAAAGTGCTTATTAGTATTGTAATCTGAAATGTAATGTAAAACTTGAGCTCATTGATTCAGCTGTGTATGAATTCAGGCTGTAAAAAGTGCTGAGTACAGACTTATGGTGCTTTCAGACCGGATCATGCTGCATTGGCTTTCAATGCAAAGTCTACGGTGACGAGCGTTCGAGCGTCACAACGCACGGACCTCTCGGCACGCACGGACTGTTCAGTAGAGACGCACGGACTGTTCAGAGACGCACGGACTGTTCAGTAGAGACGCACGGACTGTTCAGTAGAGACGCACGGACTGTTCAGTAGAGACGCACGGACTGTTCTGTAGAGACGCATGGACTGTTCAGTAGAGACGCACGGACTGTTCTGTAGAGACGCACGGACTGTTCTGTAGAGACGCACGGACTGTTCTGTAGAGACGCACGGACTGTTCAGTAGAGACGCACGGACTGTTCTGTAGAGACGCACGGACTGTTCTGTAGAGACGCACGGACAGCTCAGTAGAGACGCACGGACTGTTCTGTAGAGACGCACGGACTGTTCTGTAGAGACGCACGGACTGCTCTGTAGAGACGCACGGACTGTTCTGTAGAGACGCACGGACTGTTCTGTAGAGACGCACGGACTGTTCAGTAGAGACGCACGGACTGTTCAGTAGAGACGCACGGACTGTTCAGTAGAGACGCACGGACTGCTCAGTAGAGACGCACGGACTGTTCTGTAGAGACGCACGGACTGTTCAGTAGAGACGCACGGACGGACTGTTCAGTAGAGACGCACGGACTGTTCTGTAGACACGCACAGACTGTTCTGTAGACACGCACGGACTGTTCAGTAGAGACGCACGGACTGTTCAGTAGAGACGCACGGACTGTTCAGTAGAGACGCACGCACTGTTCAGTAGAGACGCACGGACTGTTCAGTAGAGACGCACGGACTGTTCAGTAGAGACGCACGGACTGTTCAGTAGAGACGCACGGACTGTTCAGTAGAGACGCACGGACTGTTCTGTAGAGACGCACGGACTGTTCTGTAGAGACGCACGGACTGCTCAGTAGAGACGCACGGACTGTTCTGTAGAGACGCACGGACTGCTCAGTAGAGACGCACGGACTGTTCTGTAGAGACGCACGGACTGCTCTGTAGAGACGCACGGACTGTTCTGTAGAGACGCACGGACTGTTCTGTAGAGACGCACGGACTGTTCAGTAGAGACGCACGGACTGTTCTGTAGAGACGCACGGACTGCTCAGTAGAGACGCACGGACTGTTCAGTAGAGACGCACGGACTGCTCAGTAGAGACGCACGGACTGTTCTGTAGAGACGCACGGACTGTTCAGTAGAGACGCACGGACTGTTCAGTAGAGACGCACGGACTGTTCAGTAGAGACGCACGGACTGTTCAGTAGAGACGCACTGACGGACTGTTCAGTAGAGACGCACGGACTGTTCTGTAGACACGCACAGACTGTTCTGTAGACACGCACGGACTGTTCAGTAGAGACGCACGGACTGTTCAGTAGACACGCACGGACTGTTCAGTAGAGACGCACGGACTGTTCAGTAGAGACGCACGGACTGTTCAGTAGAGACGCACGGACTGTTCAGTAGAGACGCACGGACTGTTCAGTAGAGACGCACGGACTGTTCAGTAGAGACGCACGGACGGACTGTTCTGTAGAGACCACGGACTGTTCAGTAGAGACGCACGGACTGCTCAGTAGAGACGCACGGACTGTTCAGTAGAGACGCACGGACTGTTCAGTAGAGACGCACGGACTGTTCTGTAGAGACGCACGGACTGTTCAGTAGAGACGCACGGACTGCTCTGTAGAGACGCACGGACTGTTCAGTAGAGACGCACGGACTGTTCAGTAGAGACGCACGGACTGTTCAGTAGAGACGCACGGACTGTTGAGTAGAGACGCACGGACTGTTCAGTAGAGACGCACGGACTGTTCTGTAGAGACGCACGGACTGTTCAGTAGAGACGCACGGACTGTTCAGTAGAGACGCACGGACTGTTCAGTAGAGACGCACGGACTGTTCAGTAGAGACGCACGGACTGCTCTGTAGAGACGCACGGACTGTTCATTAGAGACGCACGGACTGTTCATTAGAGACGCACGGACTTGGCGGGAAAGTAAAAAGGGAGGAGCAGGAGCGAAAAATCAACGCCCACAGGAGATGGATTCTGCTCATCCTTTCCTTGGGACGTTCGTGCGACAACCAATCAGAGAGCAGCAAAGTGGTCACGGGGACATTAGCGGACTGAGCGAGCAGACTGAAAATACTGTAAACAGCCAAAACAGGAGCCACACCAGACTTCACCAGAACTCAAACCAGGGCTGACAATGGAGGACTCTGTGATTGTGAAAATATGTGTTGTCATGCTCCTGTGACCTTATGCAACTGCTTCGAGTGTGTTCATACTACTGTTATATAAAGTCACCGTGAACACATACTGCTGTTATATAAAGTCACCGTGAACACATACTGCTGTTATATAAAGTCACCTCCGTGAACACATACTGCTGTTATATAAAGTCACCTCTGTGAACACATACTGCTGTTATATAAAGTCACCTCTGTGAACACATACTGCTGTTATATAAAGTCACCTCCGTGAACACATACTGCTGTTATATAAAGTCACCTCCGTGAACACATACTGCTGTTATATAAAGTCACCTCCGTGAACACATACTGCTGTTATATAAAGTCACCTCCGTGAACACATACTGCTGTTATATAATGTCACCGTGAACACATACTGCTGTTATATAAAGTCACCGTGAACACATACTGCTGTTATATAAAGTCACCTCTGTGAACACATACTACTGTTATATAAAGTCACCTCCGTGAACACATACTGCTGTTATATAAAGTCACCTCCGTGAACACATACTACTGTTATATAAAGTCTCCTCCGTGAACACATACTGCTGTTATATAAAGTCACCGTGAACACACACTGCTGTTATATAAAGTCACCGTGAACACATACTGCTGTTATATAAAGTCACCTCCGTGAACACATACTGCTGTTATATAAAGTCACCGTGAACACATACTGCTGTTATATAAAGTGACCTCCGTGAACACATACTGCTGTTATATAAAGTCACCTCCGTGAACACATACTGCTGTTATATAAAGTCACCTCCGTGAACACATACTACTGTTATATAAAGTCACCTCCGTGAACACATACTGCTGTTATATAAAGTCACCTCCGTGAACACATACTACTGTTATATAAAGTCTCCTCCGTGAACACATACTGCTGTTATATAAAGTCACCTCCGTGAACACATACTGCTGTTATATAAAGTCACAGTGAACACATACTGCTGTTATATAAAGTCACCGTGAACACATACTGCTGTTATATAAAGTCACCTCCGTGAACACATACTGCTGTTATATAAAGTCACCGTGAACACATACTGCTGTTATATAAAGTCACCGTGAACACATACTGCTGTTATATAAAGTCACCTCCGTGAACACATACTGCTGTTATATAAAGTCACCATGAACACATACTGCTGTTATATAAAGTCACCTCCGTGAACACATACTGCTGTTATATAAAGTCACCTCCGTGAACACACACTGCTGTTATATAAAGTCACCGTGAACACATACTGCTGTTATATAAAGTCACCTCCGTGAACACATACTGCTGTTATATAAAGTCACCGTGAACACATACTGCTGTTATATAAAGTCACCGTGAACACATACTGCTGTTATATAAAGTCACCGTGAACACATACTGCTGTTATATAAAGTCACCTCCGTGAACACATACTGCTGTTATATAAAGTCACCATGAACACATACTGCTGTTATATAAAGTCACCTCCGTGAACACATACTGCTGTTATATAAAGTCACCTCCGTGAACACATACTGCTGTTATATAAAGTCACCGTGAACACATACTGCTGTTATATAAAGTCACCTCCGTGAACACATACTGCTGTTATATAAAGTCACCGTGAACACATACTGCTGTTATATAAAGTCACCTCCGTGAACACATACTGCTGTTATATAAAGTCACCTCTGTGAACACATACTGCTGTTATATAAAGTCACCTCTGTGAACACATACTGCTGTTATATAAAGTCACCTCCGTGAACACATACTGCTGTTATATAAAGTCACCTCCGTGAACACATACTGCTGTTATATAAAGTCACCTCCGTGAACACATACTGCTGTTATATAAAGTCACCTCCGTGAACACATACTGCTGTTATATAATGTCACCGTGAACACATACTGCTGTTATATAAAGTCACCGTGAACACATACTGCTGTTATATAAAGTCACCTCTGTGAACACATACTACTGTTATATAAAGTCACCTCCGTGAACACATACTGCTGTTATATAAAGTCACCTCCGTGAACACATACTACTGTTATATAAAGTCTCCTCCGTGAACACATACTGCTGTTATATAAAGTCACGTGAACACACACTGCTGTTATATAAAGTCACCGTGAACACATACTGCTGTTATATAAAGTCACCTCCGTGAACACATACTGCTGTTATATAAAGTCACCGTGAACACATACTGCTGTTATATAAAGTGACCTCCGTGAACACATACTGCTGTTAT